ATTTGTTTGATGTCCATTTATGCAAATTGACTCTTCAAACAAATATTCTTCAAGAAGAAAAAATAAACAACTTTTTTTTTTTTTTTTAATATTGACTGATTTTGTGATGTTTCTTTCTCCAGCATGTATGTTTACTTTATTATATATGTAAGTAAACTTTTATTTGGTTTTGTATACTTTTTTTTGTTATTTAGATAAACATAGACGTGTACCCTATATATTACATTTATTCTAAAAGAATTTCGTTTTACTATACTTATAGGATTTTAAATGTGAAAGAGTTTTATAATTATATGAAATAGTTTTTCTTTGCTAGAGGCGAAGTAGTATTTAAATAATTAGAAAAAATAACAAAAGTTCCTAACATGATTGCATATGATCATTAACCGAATAAAGTATGATAACATTATAAAAAAAGATAAATTTTATTTTTAATTTAAATTCAAATTTTAGAACTTTATCTATAAATTCAAAATTATATTTTAATTCAAATTCCGTATATATATATATATATTTGTATTTAACTAAAATAGTCAAATATAGAATAAAGTTACCATATATTATTGACATTTATTAGCTTGCCACTTGACTTAACCATAATGTCATTTATATATGGTAACTTTCTTGCTTTAATATATATATAGATTGATCAAAGACAGTAGTAGTGTTGAGCAGCTCTCCTTGAGAAGCTACTTCTAGGTCTGTAGTTTTTCATATTTATGGATCAGTTTATGATAAATAATTAGCAAAATAGTCGCACTGATAGATTTAAGAAGCACTTCAGCTATTTTCAGATGATAAAATTTCATTGTCGAATGAGTAGATTATACATAGAGGCAGGCAACAGAGTTTTCCAGGACCATACCTATTAGATCAGTAAGAAAGAAAATTGTGTCGGATTTTGGTAATTCACTATAAATCAGAGTGATGTTTTCTTTCATGAAGTGGCCTTCAAAGACATGGCACTTAATGTGTGTACATATTTTTTTTTTTTGGAACATTTCACTCCTCATAGTTGTCTGGCCTATAAGGCTATAACTAGAGATGAATTTATTCGGACTTCTTTTAGCCTCATTTTTTCCTGAGTAGTATGATGATCAAACTCATAGTTGTCGTATTTGATTATTCTGTAAGCACTGTTTTGCATTTTAACAACAATTTTTACACGTGTTGTGTGCATGATTGGTTGCAAAAGTATATTAACCTAACTAATTTCAGTTTTTTTTTTCTTTTGAAATTTTGGGTTATTTCTCTGGCCAATACCCATTCCAGTAGTTGTATCAATTGTAAAATACTCAAGAGTTGCCTTTTCTTTCATATACTTTTTTTTTGCTGTCGTCCACAAATTTTAAATTGCAGATAGAGCTATTCTCTTCAAACTGTAGACGGAACTTTCAAAGAGACTTTCTTTTACAAAAAAAATTCTTTTGATAAAGGACTATCTTTTACATTTTATTTATAAAATTGTGTTTCACAATGCCATTGAAAAGATATTAGGAAGATTTTTTTCCCAATTGGGAGCTCATAAAACTAGCATACAAACTTTTTGGATCTACTAGCTAGAGTTGTCAAAAGTGAAAAGCACCAAAGCGCAAAGTTTGTTGGAGCTTTAAGTGCAATAAAAGCATGGGCTTTAGCGAAAAAGTGCCAATGAGGAAAAATAAAAAATAGAAATGGATGCAAGAAAATATAACTATAAACACAAACAATAATTAATTGGACAAAAGAATGAAAAAACTATAATTAAGCTTTTAGGGATCGTTTGGTAGAGTGTGTAAGAATAGTGCGGAATAAGGTGTATTAGTAATGCATGTGTTTGTAATGCAAGCATTAATTATGCAGATATTATTTCTTATTTACTGTTTGGTGTGGTGTATTAAAATTATAATGCATTACATAATTTTTAAGAAAAATAGTTGTTTACAAAAATGCCCTCCATATTCTCTAGCTTTAAGGGACTTTAAGGATAATTTCGTCTTTAACCATACTAATGCATGCGTTAATAGTCTTGGTATTACTAATGCCAAATACATAGGATAATATCAAGTATGATGTATAGAGCTAATGCTTGCATTATTTTTTCTAATACCTCCTACCAAACGACCCTTGTTGTGTACTTAAAGACAGAATCCATCAGTAAGGTGCACAAGCCTTAGCACCTTAACACCTACACTAAAGCGCAAATTACCCAAGGCGAAGCACACACCAAGCTTCAGTGCTTAAGTGCCCTTTAAGCGAGCCTATAACAACACTACAACTAGCTTAATAGAAATTCTTGCATATATGTAAGCAATTTTGGTTCCTTCTATTGAGTTTATGTAAGAACTCATAATCTTATTCGCTTCAGCTTTTCTTTTTATTCACAGGAACCTTCGCCTCATCTACTTTTGTAGTTTACAATCTTTTTTTCCAGTCTTTGAACAGATCTATTCTCTTCATTTTCCCTCTTTCTGTTTTTTATTGTAACCAAGTTGTACCCCTTTTTCCTTGTCGTCGTCACAGGTTGGCAATAACAATCACATATTCTGCTGGGCATGCCAGAATTATTATTGTTACCTTTGTAGAAAGATGCTCGCTTTGAGCCGAGGGTCTATCATATACCTGCACAAGGTAAGAGTAACGCTGTATACTCACTACCTTTCCCAGCCCCACTTGTGGGATTACACTGGGTATGTTGTTATTGTTGTTGTACCTTTGTAGAAAGATGGCGAAGCAAAGCTCCCAGCATTGTGGACCTAAGGGCTGCAAACAACACACTGCTGAATAGTTGGAAAGAACGTTTCAATTTAAGGGGATCTCTTCCTGAATTTTTTTTGTTCTTGTTCATTGAAGTCCATATTCCTCATACGTTCTTATGCCAAAATTGATGTTTAGGATCCTAGCTTATCGCCCGACGACATGTTTTCTCGTGTGATATATGCCATTTTCAAAGCAATTGTAAGTACAAATTGTAGCATACATCGGATTTAGTGTAAGTGGGTTCCTCTAAAAACTGAGGCAGACTGCCATCTTTGACAATAGGAACGATGCCGGCACAAGCACATGTTTTAACCACTGTTTTTCTTTCTTTCCAAAGGTAAAAGAGTGTTGTTGAGAGTACTTGTATGTCGGATGTTTATATCAAATCAATAAATGTAATTTATATATGATTAAGTGACATGCATTTTTATTTTGAATCGTTGACTCTTGCAGTTAATTATTTAGTTATGCATGAATATCCGGTGCGAATAAGTATTTATCACCAGAGTTGGAGTCAGGATATCAACTCTATGGGTTCTTGATTATGAACAACGACATCAAGTCATTATTGACTGAATCCTAAATTTAATATTTATATATATTTAATAAATTTCTTAATATAAAATACATTGTTTATGTCACACCCCCTTTTTCCAAACCTCACTAATCCTCTTAAGTTAATAATAATTTTGTGAAGCTCGAAAGGGTTTTCAATTTTGAAAGTGACAAAAATTTGTGTTCAAAAGGAAATAACTCAGAGTCACCACCTGACATGACATCGTTTTTAAAAAAATAAATTTTTCTTTTAAAACACTTTAGACTCCAAAACTAAATCTGCACCAAAAATTCGGGTAAGTGAGTTCATTTGACTCGGGGAGAAGGTGTTAGGCACTCTCCAAGTCTCGTGAAATTCACGGTTACGTACTCAATCTATTTGGCTTTTAAAATATTCAATTTAAGGTAAAAACACACAAAAAGGAAAGTAAACATAAAGAGGCTCGAGGTCGTCCTCACCTAATAAATGAAAATAGAAAACAAGAATAAAACACTACAAGTTCTACTTTTGACCTCCCATTACAAAGTTTTACGGGGCATTCCGCGGAATAAAATATATACAAATCCTTCGGGGCATTCCCCGGACAAATTTAACTAAGGGAAGGACCTCTCGCCTCAAAAATTACAAAAATCCTAAGGCTTGCCTATCTGAGCGTGGTCGGCCTAAGCATGCTCCCACCGATAAAATTAATAAAGCAGAACCAAATACAAAGTTCATTAAGTCCAACGTTCAATTTAGAAGCAAGACCCAAATATGATTTAAAGATATTAACCCCTCACGATCTATGTCATCATGATTTGTCACAATCAACTTATTATCAGTCCAAAACAAGAACTATCAAACAAACAAAATCAATTCAACCTCCTCTTAAAATTATCGTCCAACAACCCATTTCTTTAAGCCTTTTGTCTAAACTCATTCACTTGCTAAATCAATTTATCTTTCTCTTTCAGAGGTCAACATAAATTTGTAAAACAAGGGTCCAACAATGTACAATTATGTATTCAATCAAAAATTAATCAACTCAAATAGATCTCTAAATAAAAGCGCAAGTCATTCACATAATAACGATTAAAACATGTTAGGCAAATAGACATATAGATCACTCACATAAGACAGTTTCAATTAAATAAAAAAAATAGAGAAGAGAGTGGACCTCAAGTGGAAGCCAAAATGCTCTTTGAAATTTGATTAATAATGAACTGATTTCCTTTGATTACAACAAAATTAAACTCTGAACTTCAAATTGGACTGAGAAATAGACATCCCGAACCGAAGACCCTGCTGATGAAACCTCGACGAACATTGCCTTTGAAACTCTAATTTATTTATTTTTAGCTTTTTTTTTTGCAGGAGAAAATAAATTAAAATGGAGGCCTATAAAGAAAATATAGGATATTTTGTGGTTTCTGCGGAGTTTGATGGAGCTGTGATGTGGTGGCAGTAAATCTGGCACCGGCAGAGCAGTAGCACGGTGGTGGTGCTATGGCTGGTCTTGGATGAAGGAGAAACAATTAAAATGCCAGAAAAACTGAATTTACATGGTATTGTTTGATGGAAGGAATTGATGGCTTCACATGGCTATTTTGGTTTGAGAACGGAAGAAGGTGGCTAACTCTAGTGAGGATGAGAGGCTGCCGCATTTTGGATTTTTTCTCGTCTACCTTCTCTGTCTGATCCTCTCACTTTTTTTTGTTCCCCCCAGAAGTTTCTGGACTAAAAGGGATTAAAGGCCTAAAGGGTTCTTGGAGAAGAAGACCAAAAACGTGTGGTCCCCTCTCTATTCTAAAATGTCAAATATACTTTTGTACCTTTTTTTTTAATCTTTCCTCCCAAAAACAAAATATTAGTAGTGTTCATGAGTCCGTGAGAGTTTTAGCGAATAAAAATAAATAAAATAAATCAAAAAAAGCAAGAAAGAAACGTGCATGTGTGTGAAGTGACAGTGAGTATGAGATCAAGTTTGTTATAAAATGAATGATAAAGAATCTTTGGGCATATGACAATCTTTGATCGGCTCTTCTTTTTCCTTTTTTTTTGAAAAATATAAAATAAAAATATAAAATAACTATTTCTAGTCTAACTCTATATATGTAAAACCAAATAACTAGACTGAAATAAAAAGACACTAACGAAAGATTGTTAACTTATTTATTGAAAACCCAAGTTAAAGTAGGGACATATTGTTTTGTAAATTTCTTTTGTGATGAAAACAAGACTAATATCTAAATACGTAAATATTTTGTGATTTTTAAATTTTAAGATAAAATAAAACAAAAAGAGTTAAAACTAGTTAAAATAGCGACATTAGACCTAAACTAAATATTTAAAAGCTAAAATATGTAAAATTTCGGGGAGGGTAAAAAATTACATGTCTACAGCTGCCCCTCTTTGACTGGAAATACGAAGAGTTTTCAGACAAAGAACAACAAGACATGTTTTTGACCCGACCCTTATTTAAAGAGACTAAAAACTAAAAGAAAGGAGAATGTGACCGAGCCCTGATATCTGAGCTGCCTACATATCCTTGGCTATAAAGGAATCAGGCCACGTGTAGTTCAAAAGTAAGAACAGTGATGAAGTATACTGAGGTAGAGAGCCGATTGAGGTGCCGTCGAGGTTCTGGTCCGTGGTTCCTGCCTTCACGTCAAAAATAAAAGGAAAAATTACAGCAAAGTAAAAGAAAAATACAAAATCCTATCTACTTCTTGTCTTGAATCTTCCTTGAATCTCTACTTGATCTTCAACATGAGACTGAAAAATGGACCCTATTCTTCAGGCGGGCTCGTGATGCTTCTTGAATTTGCAAATTGAAAGTAACTCTGAAATGAATTCCCTCGTTTTCCAGGTGGGTGCCTGCCACTGGCTTAAAACTTGAAATGAATTCCCTCATTATCCAAGTGGGCGCCTGCCAGTGACTTAAAACTTGAGATGACTTCCCTCGTTCTCCGGGTGGGCGCCTGATTACCAAAACTTGAATTGTATTCTCTCGTTATCCAGGTGGGCGCCTGATTCCAAAACTTGAATTGTATTCCCTCGTTATCCAGGTGGGCGCCTGATTCCAAAACTTGAATTGTATTCCCTCGTTATCCAGGTGGGCGCCTGATTACCAAAACTTGAATTAATTCTGAAACGAATTCCCTTATTCTCTAGGTGGGTGCCTGCAATCAAAACAACAAAACAAACAAAATTTTCTGCCCCAGTTTGCACTAGGAAGATTTGTGAGTTGTTAGCAAAACAGTGAATTACCTATGCTATTAATGCGATGATGAGAGTAAAACTAAAGACTTGACTGGGATGTGCGTCTCCCGTGAATCAAACCAAGAATATTTGACCAATGAGTTCATCAGACTAGGTCTTCTATCTTAGGAGAAAGATTCATCAGACTAAGATTTCGATCCTAGGAGAAAATTCATCAGACTAGGTCTTCTATCTTAGGAGAAAGATTCATCAGACTAAGATTTCGATCCTAGGAGAAAACTCAGGAGACTAGGTTTTCCTTTTTTGTTATCTTAGGAGAAAGATTCATCAGACTAAGATTTTGATCCTAGGAGAAAATTCATCAGACTAGGTTTTAATCTTAGGAGAGATTCATCAGACTAAGATTTTGATCCTAGGAGAAAACTCATCAGACTAGGTTTTCTATCTTAGGAGAAAAATTCATCAGACTAAGATTTCGATCTTAGGAGAAAATTCATCAGACTAGGTTTTAATCTTAGGAGAAAGATTCATCAGACTAAGATTTTGATGCTAGGAGAAAATGTGAAGAGCAATGACAACATTTTATGCGCACTAGCAAGACAGATAAAGGCAAAGATTTGAGAAACTTCCCTTTGTCGGCTCTTCTTCTCCTTTTTTCTTTTCCTTTCTTTTCTTTTCTTTTTCTTTTTGTTTTGTTTTTGAACCAACTTGCTTGCATCGCTTTGTTCCTGTTTCAAACAAAGAAAACTTGTGAGTTTAAAATGTGGTGGTTAGTTTGTGGCCTTGACCTTGAAGGTGACTGCTTCTGCACTTGCTAAGATAACTTTGATTTCAACTTGGAAGGCCTTGACTGTTATCGACTACCCATTTTCTTTCAACCCTTATCATAGAAAATACCTCTACTCCATTCGATCTCAATATCCTCTATCTGTTGCATTTTGCTCGTGAATTGACATTTACCGAACCCTTGGATTTCACATGAATCCCAAAGCATGTTAATTGTTACCAACTCAGTGCGCATACCACTTTTCCCTGACTTACGCCACTTTGATGTGCTAGCCAAATTTGTTTTGTGCAATTGGAAAGCTGGTAGCAAATTTTGAAGTCATTTCTCACTTGTTCTGACCAAACAGACTCAAGAAGGGACTCAAACAAAATAAGAGGAAGGGACAAGGGAAAGAGATGATACCTAACAAGAAAATTATAAAGTAGAAACTTATCAGATGTGGATAACAACTCTAATGACCATGACATGCACCTTTGGATTAAGTGGCCTAATTTGTCAAGCAAGTCTAATGTTCAACTCTTGTTGTACCTCTGAGCCGTGAAACTGGGCTTCAGCGCTTCAATTGTCCCATCTGATCCACGATCCTCAATCGACTTGTAGTTCCCTGAAGGTTTTCACCATCAAGCCTCTCTCATTTTGTTCTTTTCTCAACTCACCGTCGCCTTACGGTGCCCATAAGGGTTTTCACCGGTAAGACTCTCTCATTTTATCATTTTCTCTCTTTGTGCTGAGAACATATTACCCATGATACAAGAAGATAAGACTTTTACCACACACTTGATTTGACATCCTCAAATATTGGTCGGAAGGTCTTTCTTTGGACCGTAATGTAAGCTTTTGGACATGGTTGGAAAGAAATGGTGGCATGAAGGCT